TAGAAATTTCTGAAATATTTAAAGCCTCTTTGAAGTTACAAGAAAATTTTGCTTTCTCACTGCAATACTTCATTAATTACCTATGACTTTCCCACACCATAGTTCTTTATGTTATTTAACTTATATCTTAAAGGGCATCAAAAGGAATGAGAAGATTAAAGGAATGAAAGAAACAATCATCTTTACACATTATTTTATTAATCTTCAAAACAACTCTAAATTTGCAAATATCATTCCTACATCGCAGATGTGGAATTGAATTCCAGAGAAATTAAGTGACCTAAGGCCTCCCAGCTCGTAAATTACAGAATTGTGAGGGGAGCACAGAGTAATTGCTGCTCTGCTAGATGCCTCCCCGCAGGGCAGGAAGGAAAGCCCTAACTGCACACTGCCATAGAATGAAATCATGAATGACACTGAGTTGTGCAGGCACTTTGGGCTGCTGGAAGATTTTTCAGGAAGAATGTTCACAAGCAGCCCATGTATAGCAAGGAACCTAAGGAATGCAGAGGACAAAGCAGTTGCTTAAAGAGACACAAATGACTAGCTCCACACTTCTCCAAGAACAGAAGTCATAACATCACCAGTTACTGGTCACTGTCCACGATCTGTCTTTTGGTCCAAATCTGACCTAAAATGGGCAAGTGTGTAGCCAAAAATAAAGACAGAAATGATATGGCTCTGGAATAGATACAAGATAAAAGGCGAAAGCTCTGGGTGTGGCCGCAGGCCGCTATCCACCAACTCCAAGCTGCTCTACATTCTGCTTCCCTGTATTTGCACAGGCAGAAGTATGGACTCATCCACCAGCCTGGCATTGTTTGAGGGCAATGTAAGGGAGACAAGGCAAGCCTAGAGGGCCAGCAGCCCAGGGAGGAAGCCTGGACCTAGACTGCCAATTCAGGGGCTCAGGTGTTACCCACCCAGAGTAAGTGGGTGAATGACGGTCACAGGAGGTCACTACAGAAAAGGTGCAGGCTGGACATAGAGCCCCTGAGGAGGACCTACCCTCTGTGGAGAAAACCCAGGCCCACCAAGTATCCACATTAATCCCAGTCATCTGCACGAGTCCCTGTTGCACAGTCTGTGCCCCAAGACACCTGAAGGCCGATGCTTTCATCTGCCAAGGTGAACAGGACACTCAGACAGTTACCACAGGCTGAGTCTCTTTTCTTTTGGGTTTGTTTTTCTGTCTACTTTTTGGTATTCCTTTCCCCCTCTTAACTTTTTTTTCTGATGATATTTCTTTAATTTGCTGTGCTTTGTTCTCTGATCAGAGACTCTTTCATGGTGACTCTTTTCTGAGACTATTTTTCAATACTAATTTCTTTTTTGCTCCTCAGTATGCCCCTCATCTCACACTTCTCTCAGCTTCCATTAGTTAACTTTTCAAATTTTACTTTTTTGTTCTCTGGTTGCTCTCTACCTTTATAAGTATAATTATTAACCTTTATGAATCTTTAGATAGAGAACTGTACCTAATACTAAATACCACTGCTTGTGAGGGGTTTTTTGTTTGTTTGTTTGTTTTGTTTTGGCAGAACTGGGGATTGAACTCAGGCCCTTGCACTTGCCAGGCAAGCACTTATTCTACTGAGCCATCTTCCAAGCCGCATTAGTGAGGTAAAATTGTTCCAATTACTAAATATTTACTTTAGATCAATATATGGATAGTCTTCAGAGTTATAGTATGATTGTAGATCTCCTTTCTATGATTCATAAAGTTATATTATTGGTTCTTAGAGTTTATCAATATCCAGTTTATCTTTCAGTCTATTATTGTTGCTGATTTTATTACTATAGACAAGGTGGCACTGTTTTTGCTTTCAACAGCTTTTCTCAGGATATCAATCTCTGGATTACTTTATCATCATTTAAAAAACTGCAATGAGCATAAAATAGAATTTGAGTGCACACAAAGAAACCAAACAGCAATTCAGGAGATGAAAAAGCCTGCCCAAAATACAGGCATCAGAAGTGAAATACATGAGAAGAGAATATTAGAACTAGAGGATTCAGTTGTTGTCACTGACCAATTAATAAGAAAATACCAGCAGTGGCTGTGACTCATCCACATGGCTGACACTGGCAAAGGATCTATAAACTGTGATACAGGGTTTTAGAATAAATCCTGAGGGGATTTGACTGACCTTGGCAGATACAAAAGTTACATTTCTTATTGTGTAGGTCTTGCTTTATCTTGGTCTTAACCATCCATCATAAAAGTATAAAACTGAAGTATAAAAAGTAAAGCCATATTAATGTGCTGAGCTGTAAAAGGCTCAAGTTAACAATTTCTGACATAGCCAGTCCTATGGAAAACCCACTACTATAATGGACTACTGGACTATATTGGAATATGTTGCTGAATTCACACAACTACAATTTTTAAATGACAATGGAATACCCTTCTCTGACAAGACTAACAAAAAAGGGGGACAAATGAAGGACCATTTTGTATCTGTATATTCAAAATAGTTAGGATAGATATACAGCTACTTTCTCTTAATTCAGTGAATAAAAAGATTAGTACTAATAGTGTTTGTGGACAGGATATCATGTCTGCATCTTGTACTATGAATAACTAAGAAGACAACAGTATGTAATGTATTAATTATTGAAACTGTCTTACTAATTGGTTTTGAAACTGTCTCATTGCTATTTGTTTCTCAATAAAATTATTTTTAAAAAGAAAGAAAATACCTTAAAAACAATAAGAAAGCATGAAAAACAGGTCCAATGACTAGTAGATGACACAAACAAGAATAATCTAAGACTATTGGAATTAGTTAAAAAAAATCAGAAGACAGTGTAAAAGGCATTTAAAAATTTATTTATCAAAATAATAGTGTCAAACTTTCCAAATAAGAGAAAAAAATTAACATGTAGATAAGTAAGACATAGAGAACTCCAGATAACCATAATCAGAAAAAGACCCTCTCCACCACACATCATAATCAAAATCCCACAAGTTCATTAAAAGAACAGAATCTTAAAATCTTTCACAAAAAAACAACAAATTACTTACAAAGGAAAACCCGTTAAAATTGTAGCAGACTAAGATTCAGCTATTACGAAGTGTGCTGCTATAAACATAGGTGTGCATATATCGCTGTGGTATGACTTTCATTCTTTTGGGGAAGATGCTAAGACAGGGAATAGCTGAGTCAAATGGAACCTCTAGTTTTAGTTTTCTAAGGAATCTTCACACAGACTGCCACAGTGGTTGCACCAGTCTACACTCCACTAATAGTAGAGAAGGGTTCCTTTTCCCCTATGGCCCCACCAGCATTTGTTACTGATTGATTTCTTGATAGAGGAAGATCAGACCTTCACAGCCAGGACAGCTTTGAGTGAAGTGTTTCAAACACTAAAAGCAAACAACTTCCAACCTGGACTGATATACCTTGCAAAACTATCTTTCAAAATTGATGAAAAAATATATTATGAAATATTTCTTATCAAATAAGATATTTTCATAAAAACAAGCACCTAAAGTAATTCACAACATACCAGCACTCTAAAAATTTCTATAAGATTTTTATAGAAAAATGGCAAAAAAAAAATCTGATAGAATTAATCTACCAGGTAGGGTGAACAGTTACAAAAGGAAATCAGCAACAGGAAAACAATGCAATGACAGGAAAAAGTCAATATCTATTATTAATAACTCAATATGAATGATCTAAATTCCACAAATAAAAGGCACAGCTTGGTAGAATAGATCAAGAAATAAAACAATGGTATGTCGTATATAAGATATACATAATTTAAAACAAAATTCATGGACTAAAAATTAAAGAATGTAAGATAATACTCCATGCAACAAACCTGAAAAAAACAACAGATGCAGCTATCCTTTTCTCAGAAAAAGTGGACTTTAAACCTAAAATGATCAGAACAGGCAAAGAAGTTTACTACATATTGGTTAAAGGCACAATTCAACAGTCAGATACAACAGTTATTACTATATATGCACCAAATGCCAGTGCATCCAACTTTATCCAACACCACTGGACAGAAAATCAGATAAACAGCAACACAGAGAGGGGGATCCTCAATACCCCACTGTAACAAAATGATCAACTAAGTGAAAAAAAATCAAGAAAGAAGTATCATAGTTGAAATAAAACTTTGAACAAATGGATTTTGTAGATATATACAGAGTGTTCTACCTAACAACAGAACTCACATTCCTTTCAGCAGAATACAGAGCATTCTCCAAAAATATACCACATATTAGCCAATAAAACAAGTTTAAGGAAATGAAACAAAATCAAAATTATATCGTGCATATTATCAGATGATAGCCCAAGGAAACTAGAAATCAATGGCAAGAGAAAGTATGCAAGCATGTGGAAATTAATATTCTCTTAAATAATCAATGGGTTAGAGAAGTAATTAAAGAGAAAAGAAGACATGCCCTATAACTATTCAATAATGCCAGTGCAACTTACCATAATTTATGAGACACAATGAATGCAGTCCTAAATGAAAGTGTATAGCTGCATATCAGCAAAAAAAAAAAAAAAAAACTTTGACTATGCCCACATCAGAAAAATAGAGTGAGCCCAAATAAATAACCTAATCATATACTTTAAGGTCAATGACAAACCAAATTCAAAGCTCAAGGAAAGAAACTATAAAGATCAGAGCAGAAACCAATGCAACTGACACTTAAAAAATAATATAAAGAGTCAATGAATTGCAGAGTTTGTCCTTTAAAAGAATACACACTGGGCTTGGGACATAGTTCAGCAGCACAGCACCAGCTTGATAAGCACAAGGTCCTGAGTTTGATTCCTGGTGCCCAAAATATAAATAAATAAAATAAAAGAATACACAAAATAGACAAACCTTTAACCAACTTTACTCAAACAAGAAAAGGAAAGATGTGCCACGGCTTCAGTAGCTACGACATCTCCATCCTGGCCCAAGAGGTGCCAGCATCTCGTCTAGGAGACCATTGCAGTCATCCAAGCTCCTGCTCCATGGTAACCATGCACAGCCAAAAGATGGTGATCAAAAATACGGACATGTCAGAAGAGATGCAACAGGATTCGGTGGAGTGCACTACTCAGGTACTGGAGAAATACAACACAGAAGAGGACATTGCGGCCCACATCAAGAAGAAATTTGCCAAGAAGTACAACCCCATCTGGCGCTGCACTGTGATGAAGAATTTCAGTAGTTATGTGATGCATGAAGCCAAACACTTCATCTACTTCTACCTGGGCCAGGTGGCCATTGTTCTGTTCAAATCTAGTTAAAAGCACGGACTGTGCCATGCATCCAGTGATGCATCCAAAACAAAGGACTGCATCCTAAACCCCAAATACAGAGACTGAAAATCTCCAGCCTTGCTAAGGGAACACTTCCATGTTTGAACGTTGTTTGTGTTGTGTACAGGACATTCTCTGTACTAGTTTGGTGCGGTTATAAAACAGTTAGCAAAACAACCTACATTTGTATTTATTTTTTGTTCCATACTTCTGTGCCTCATATATTTTTTCTTTTAATCCATTCCTTTAAAAAAATAAATCTGTTGGCAATGTAAAAAAAGAAAAAATAAAGGGAAAAAGACAAACTGTGCAACTAGGAATGAAAAATGTGAAATCATATCTGATACTGGAGAAATCTAGACTTTTAGCAACTACTCTGCAAAACTGCATGCCTATAAATTGAAGAATTCAGAAGGAAGGGATATTTTTCTAGATACATATAAATTATGAAAACTGAACCAAGAAGATATAAAAAAAAAGTCTGAATAAACTGATAACAGATGAAATTGAACCAGTCATTTTAAAAAACCCTAACAACTCAGAAAAGCCCAAAACCTGATGGATTCACTGCCAACTTCCACTAGAACTTAGGGGAAAATACAACACCAATACATAAAATCATGAACAAAATTGAAAGGGAATGACTATTCCCAAAGTTATTACTAAAAGTTAACACTGCCCTGATTCCAAAACCAGACAAGGATCCTACTAACAAAAAGGGGCATATCCAAAAAGGAGAATTATAGGCCACTCTCTTTAATGAACATAGATGTGAAATTCCTCAACATAATACTGGCAAGCAGTATGCAACAAATTACCAAAAAGACCATATATCCTGATGCAGTAGGTTTCATTCTAGGGATGCAAGGATAGTTTGAATACAGAAATCAATAAATACAATACATCACACACGCAGAAGCAAGGACCAAATTGACATGATCATCTCACACATAGAAAAATTCTGTAATAAAAGCTAATTTCCATTCATGATAAAGAACAACACTGACAAAAATAGGTATAAAAGAATCTTATCTCAATGCAGTGAACGCCATTTATGACAAGTCTACTTACAACATGATATTAAATGGGTAAAAACTGAATGCTTTCCTTCTAAAATCAGGAAAGACAAAGATGTTCAATATCATCACTCCTATTCAACATAGTACTCAAGACATTAGCAAGAACAATTAAGGAAGAAAAAATAAAAACAATATTTATAAGAATGCAAGAATTAAATTAGCATTATTTGAAGACAACATGATCCTCTACATAAAAGGCCCAAGTAAATCTACCTAAAGACTCCTAAATTTAATAACCAATTTCAGCAACGTAGTAGGATATAAAATCAATGCACAAACATCAATAGCATTCCTGTAAACCAGTAATGAACTCTTTGAGAATGAAATTAGAAAAAAAAAATAAATATCATCCACAATAGAATGAAGAAAAATACTCAGGAGTTAACCTAACTACAGAGTGAAAGATCTCTATAAACAAAAATAAAGTAGTATAAAAAGGACATTAGAAAATGGAAAATAACCCTGTTCTTGGATATTATTATTATTACTTAAACTCAAATGGGGAGTTAAGAGATGAAGAAAAGGGGAAAGGAGGAGAAGAACTGGGGTGAAAAAAATTATTATTACGTGTACTCACTTCACACAAAAAATGTAAACATTACATATTACAAGTACATATTATTTGTCTCAGTTACTTTTCTCTCATTGCTGGGACAAAATACCCAACTCGCAAAATTAAGGAAGGAAAGGTTTATTTATTTAGCTCACAGTCAGTGGAGATTTCAGTCCATACTCAGCTGGCTCCAAGGCAGAGTGGAACATGGCAAAGGGCAGCAATTCATGGCAGCAAAAAATAGCAAAACAGCAAGAGCAAATGGGAGATCTAGGGGCAACAATCGCAGCAGAGAGCAACTGTATCTCCCTTATGGTGCATTCAGGCTATCTGCCCCAGACTGGATAGTGCTCACATCCATAATCCCAGCAGCACTCATACCCATAATCCCAGCCTTTATCATGAACTAACCACAAACTCTAGAAGTCCCTTCCCCATGACTTCATGAAGCTTTGGGGAGGGCAACTAGACACAAACCATAACAATATTTTTTAAAAGGTCTTATTATTAGTACTTGTCCTAACGTTACTAAACTACATTCTGTTTCCTTGAAAACTTAAAATCATCACTAATGGAACTATGAAAAGTCCTCCACGCAAAAAGCAAACCATGAAGTACAAATGCTAGAAATTGTCCCATCCTAAAGGAAATCTTATCAGCCTCCATACAGGTTAGCTTTGGCAGCATCAGTTACTGGCTTAGGGCTCAGGGATCTCACAGATATGGTAATGCCTCATTCACAAGCCCTTCTGTTTGAGAACAATTGGGTAAAACCTTGCTTCTACTTTAGAATTCAACATTTGGTGATGGCTTCTGGTGTCTACCATCGTGGCCATCCTCCCCAGTCTGACAAGTGGCCGTGGCTTCCTCTGGTCGACAGCATGGTCACAGAAGGACCTGCACAAACCTGCCATGATGCTTCTGTGTGTGCTTCTTTTGTGTGTGCTTTTTAGCAACTGTATAGTACTGTACATTATTATTTAATCTAGCATAACTCCAAAAAACCCAGAGCAAGCATGGAGGTAAAAGGAAGTGCAGACCAGTAATAAAGGTGGCCAGGATGTGCAGAATGATAATGAAGGGGAGAAGGATGTGCATGGGAATAATGACGATAACAGGGAAGTTCAGAGGTAGAAAGGGAAGAAGATATTGAAGAAAATAGACATTCAAATTACAAAGAAAATTGCAGAAAAACATGAGCATGGTATTTGTTTGACTGATCTGGCCTCTGAGTACAAGAAGATGAAGTGCACAATCTCCACTATTTTGGGAAGCAAAAGTTTCATCCAAGGAGCTGATGTGGCAAAAGGAGTGCTGATGTTATCCAAGCAGAGGACACAAGTGCTAGAAGAGGTGGGAAACTTTGGTTGGTGTGCTCAGATGAGAAACAGCCAGTAGATTATAGCATTAGCGAAGCTCTGATCTGTGAAAAGGTCAGGAAATTGCAGTGATTTACGGCAAGAAAGCCCCTCTACAACTGCAACAAGTGATGAAATTAGAACCAGCAGAGGGTGGTTTGATAAACTCTACAAAAGAAATATGACAAGACACAGTCAGTCTTCCAGTTTTTAACAAGGCTGCTATAGAAAAAAATTCACAAATCCATGAAGGCAGATGGATATATTGAGCAACAAGTGTTCATCTGTGATGAACCAGGGCTATTATACAAGATGATGTCAAATAGAAACTATGTCACCCAGGAAGAAAAGGCACTGCCAGGGCACAAGCCCGTGAGGAACAGATTGACCTTCTGCTGTGTGAAAATTGAGTGGTGATCTGAAGATTAAGCCACTACTGGGGTACCATTCCCAGACCCCTCATGTACTCAAGGGACAAAGTGAAGAAGGCCAGACTGCCTGATATGGAGACCACTGTGAAAGCTTGGGTCCCAAGGCAGTTGTTCATAAAGGGGTTGCATGGTGTTTGTATGCACAGTTAAATATCTTTCTGACAACCAAATGCCTGAAAGCTACCTTCTTCTGATGGACACTGCCCCGGCACAGCTTCCAGCCTTGGTGGACGATATTGAAGCTGAATCTGACTTCATAAAGGTGAAGTTTCTCTCACACAGCATGAGACCTTTTCTGTAGCCTATTGAACAGCTGGTAATCTACAACTTCAAGAAGCTGTAAACAAAGGTACTCTTCATCAGGTATTTTAATGTCACTGAAGAGATGTCCTTGACTCTGAAAGAGCTCTAGTAGAAAGAAGTTCTAATAGAAACATTTCCGTGTCCTCCACTGCGCCAAAAGCTTGGGAAGATGATCATACACCAGACCTTACACTCAGCCTGGAGGGAACTGTGGCCAGAAGGTGTCAGTGAACATGACTTTGATGAATCTGAGGCATGGGTAGTGGAGATTGTGTCCATGGGCAAGCGTAGGTATCTGACACTGAGGGCGCACACATAGAAGAGCTTCTGATGGCAGATCTTGTTGATCTCCACAGGTGGCAGCAAAAAGGCCTTGTTGAGGAACACTCCACTGAGAAAGAGAAAGACAGGGAGGAGGTTAGCAGCAGTGTGATAAATCCATTATGGAAAATGGAATGAGTGCCAGGATTTCCTTGAAAAGCATCCCCCTCACTGAACAGACTGTTGAATCTAAAGAATAAATATATGTTCTCTAATTTCTGCAAGGTTATGCAGCACAGGAAAAAACAAATGGTATTAGACTTTTTTTTTTTTTTTTTTTACAAAATTGACCCTGCAGCTAAGTTACAATGAAGAGGGGAAGCCCCTGAAGGCTATCTCACCAATGTCTCTTCCCCATCCAACTTCCTGTCCTTGGTTCCAAAAGCCACCTCCAGCAAGGTTAGTGTTTTCTCTCTTCCTACTGTGCTGAACTATACTTTGTTTCATATTTTTCTAGTTAAAAAATACATTTGATTCAAAATGTATTAACCTTATTTACGTCAAACTTTCTGGAGAAATTTGATTCAGTTTGCAACTATTTTGGTTCAAGACTAGAGTCATGGGATGAATTAACTTTGTGAACTGAGCTACCACTGTAGTGGTTCAGGAGCCAGAGTTCCTGAGAGATTTCAGTCAAGAGTTTTTGATCCCTGCACTGATCCTTCCTATGAGCATCACTCTATATAATAGCAACAGAATCACTTCTGTTCAGGGAGAGAGGTCAACAACCCAGAGAGAAGAAGAAATGCTTTGACATTCACTAGGGGTAAGCTATCTGCTAGCCTAGTGTCATATGTTTAACTATGCTATCTCACTTGATCGACACAAAAATCCTCTGAGCTGACATGGAGTATCTCATTTTGACAACTTTAAAATTTCTGAGATTAAGAACCTCAAATCTACATTCTTATTAAATAACCTTCTAAGATACAGATAAATTATT